AAACCCGTCCTGCAGTGAATCAGTCGCCGGTTTCACGCCAACGTTCTCACCCAGCGATGGTGATGGCGTGGGCTCCTCACGGGGCAACACACGCACCATGACCAGGCACCAATTTACATGCCTAGCCACACACATCTTCTGGGGCACCCTCGCTTTCATTGTGTTTCCATCCTGCAGTGGGTCAATGGTTGGCTTTGCGCTGGCATCTGTCATGGACTCCATTGGCGCCGTCTCCTGACGCCACATGCCACATTCGACACTCCTCATGCCAATCTACACGCTGTGGGCGACATAGAAAGTTCGACCCGGTCCTTCAGTGCTTGGTCTGTCATTGAAGATGCTGTTGGCAACCCATCACCAGCAGGCATATGCAGGGATACCGTCTCCGTCTTCTTCGCGTCCTGGTACTCCAACACACCGCCTCAGGCACCTAACGCGCCACGCCTCACGCCAATCACATCTACTGCAACATGCCATGCCAATATACACTACACTGACTACACGCACAAGGCAATGCAAATCTACGCGGGTTCCCGGCAAACACAAGTTTTAAATCCCTTATTTCCTTCGCTAGGTATGTAATCAATTCCAAGTTGGCAGTCCTCCGGCGCTGAGCCCACTGTTGGTGTTTCCCCGGCAACCGTCCCCGCCGTCCCCTGACACAAGATTCAACACATCACACCAACAACATTTATTGATCATTGCTCAAAAAAAGCACACATGTGTACGTGATCATATGACTCCTTCAGGTCGGTTGCCTGTGTTTCATTGGCATTCGGCAATGCCACAGCTTCCGTTGGCACCGCCTCCTGACGCAACATTGCACACACTTCAGACACGACTTCATGGACTTCATGAACTTCATGCAAAACAAATCCCCCAGTCCAGTCCTTTGCAGAATCCGCCGCTGCCACTGTCGGCTGTGGAACCTGCCACAACATTCAAATGAACACATGCGCGTGTCGCTTATAAGCTCAGCTGCCGCACGCTAGTCCATCACAACCGCAAGCCATGCTCGTTCTATGGCCTGCCCAGCAGATTGAGATGGAGCCGACGAAGCATGAGAAGCGCTGCCGGGAATCCGGCGCTGCTTGGACAGCCAAGCAAACCAGAGTAGAATGTCCTCCAAGGGTTCTCCGTTCTCAGAGCCGAAATCCCACGACTCGCCACCATCATCGAAATCCTTTCCGAACTCCTTGATCACGTACGCACGGTGCTCGTCCATCAGAGCATGCGCTCGGGCCGACTGAATGTGCGCCAGAAACTCTTCAGGCAACAGGTCCAGCATATGCTCGCGCAGATTATCGTCGCTCATCTCAAGTAAAGCCTGATTGTGCCGATAGTACAACTCCTCATTGGTGATCAGGCCTTGCTCGTCAATGTGCTCTCCGTCCGACGCCTGGGCATTAGCCTTGTCCTGCATCACACACACACAAACTGCATTCATCACCTCAAAAACCTGCCTCATTCACTCATTGCAGCAAACCAGTCCTGATGGCCAACCGCCTCTGCCGCCGGAGCAAGGGAGGATACAACGGCGGCAGGTTCCTGCAACTAGCAAAGCCAAGCAATGACATCCAAGGATAGCTACAGTCAATGGCCTGAACAAACAATGTTGCAGAGCTGGCGCTGGCGGTTGTCCCACTCGGCTGACTTGGATCCTGCGGCGGCGTTGCTCCGTTTCGACCACCGACCACCACCACCACCACCAACACCACCACAACAACCACAACAACAACCACAACAACAACCACAACAACAACAACAACAACCACAACAACAACCACAACAACCACAACCACAACAACAACCACAACCACGGACCACAACCACAACCACAACCTGTACCACAACCACAACCACAACCACAACCACAACCACAACCACAACCACAACCGCAACCGCAACCGCAACCGCAACCGCAACCGCAACCGCAACCGCAACCGCAACCAAACACACTGACTCTGACTCTGACACCAACAAAAACAAACAAAGGAACAAACAAAACACAAACACACAAACATACACACACACACACACAGAGACACACACAGAGACAGAGAGACACAGCGACACACGCAGCAGAGACAGGCAGAGATACAGACACAGAAACACACAGACACACAGACCCAAAGTAAGACACACAACCACACAGGACCACACAACCACACAAACACACAAATCAAAACACAGGAACACACAAGCACACAAACACACAAACACACAAACACGCAAACACACAAACACACACAAACACAGACAAACACACACAAACACAGACAAACACACACAAACACAGACAAACACACACACACACCACACACACACACACACCCACGCACACACACGCACACAAACAAACAAACGAACAAACAAACAAACAAACACACACACACACACACACACACACACACACAAACAGACGCACAATCACACACACACAGACACAGACACAGACACAGACACAAACACAAACACAGGAACACACTCACACAAACACACACCGCACACAGACACTCACACACAGGCGTGGCACACAAACACAGCATCACACAAACAAACAATACAAAATACAAAAGGGCATAAGGGTCTACCCTGGGACCCTGGGACCGTGACCTGGACTCCTGGACAACCCACAACCCACAACCCAGAACCCACGATACCCACAATCCACACAACCCGCACAACCCACACAACCCACACAACCCACGCAACCCACACAACCCACCCACACAACCCACACAACCAACCAACCCACACAACCCACACAACCCACGCAACCCCCACAACCCACACAACCCCCACAACCCACACAGCCACACAGCCCACAAAACCCCCACCCACAGCCCACACAAACCACACAGCCCACAGAAACCACACGACCCACCGAAAACCCAACCCCCACAACCCCCAACCCACAAGAGACAATGTGACAAGAGACAAGAGACAACAGGCAACTCAGGCCGGCAACTACAGCAACAAACAACAAACAACTTCACTTTAGTTTGCTGACATGGACAGGACAAGAAGAAGAACTTGAACAAGAACTTCAACTACACCAAAACCGAAACCAAACGGTCAATGGCCTGAGATATTTCCTTCTTCACGGTGCCGTCACAGCCCCCATCGTCACCCTCGCCACCGTCATCATCGCACTGTTGCATGATTTCGTCCAGCATGCTTGGAATGGTTTCTCTTGGAGCAACATACGGGAGCGCGTCGAGCATGAGTTTGGTCATCTTATGCACCGGTGTCACCTGCTGCGCCACCAGACGCAGGGCAGAGTTGCATGCATCCGGGATATGCAGCCCATGCATCCTGGCGAGCGTGCAAGCCTCGACAAACAAACCTTGCATTTTAATTACAGTATTTTTTGCAATGACAGTCCTGAAGCATATCCCCATGTCATTGACACACTTTTCGAGGATCATGTGGCCGGCAGGAACGTAGATCAAATCTCCGGTTCGGACAAGGGCCGCGCTGAGCGAGGGCAATTGAAGCTCGTCGGGGATGGTTCGAGCTTGCAGCTGCTGCATCTGTTCTCTGACAACTGACAGTTCGGAGGTCTGGAAGAATTTGCCTCCAGCCCACAGCGCACGCTCGACTTCACTCGGCTCGACTGTCGACACAGTACTAATGCTGTCTTAAATATCTCACAGTCGAGTGACACGCTTCCTCTGCATTCACAGTCACCAGCAGGAGTCCACCGCTAACCTTTCAATTTGCAAGAATGATTGAATAGATCTCGTTATTTCTTTATCTCTTTCTCTCTCTCTCTATCTCTCTCTCTCTCTACTCATTCAAACATCGCGCCTGTACGCGCAATGTCGGCAGGGCCTGTGAGTCAACTCCTGCCCAGACGTTGTTCTGCTGGGCACCATACAACCACAGGGCCCGAAAGCTTTCCAGTGCGTCTTTTCCGTCATCCATCTTGTCTGCAGCTTCCTCGAGTGCTTGATCCTGACAAACACTCAAGAACAGCGGCAACCACATAACATCTTTGCAATCGTGTCGACATCATTCATTACTGATTCTCAATCGCGGTCTCAGGTCTCAGTCCTCAACCAGGCAACTGCTGTCCCAAACATGTGGTAGTTCGGCCCGTGCGACCTTTATCGCTTTGGCACACGCGGACTTGTCCTCGATGATGGCCAATGTCCTTGCACAGGCGCCTTTCTTCTCCATGTTCCCTCTGAACTCCTTGAGCGCGGATTCGATGTACTGCTTACCCTCGCCATCCGTGCATTGCTTGATAATGTGTTTGCCCTTGCGCACCTGAGCATGAACTTGGGAGACAGAAGCATGCTTAGGGTTTAGGGTTTAAGGTTTAAGGTTTAGGGCTTTAGGGTTTAAGGCTTAGGGCTTAAGAGTTGAGGGTTGGGCTTAGGGCTTAACAGTTGACAGTTGACAGAACCAAACCAACCACATCAAGAACAATAACAAACAAGGCGCAATCAACGGCAACTCTGGCATTGGTGTGCCCAGTTTGTCTTCCATCTTCTCCGGCTCAGCATTGGCATCCCTTAAGACCCTCATGGGCCTTGCCTTGAGGAGATGTTTGAACTCCTTCAGGGTGTCGCAGTCCGAGTCTGACACCACCTTTGCGAGGTTGGCTCTGCCAAGCCTGATCGGTACGACAATTCATAGTAGAAGCCAGGTCAAGCCCAGCCCAATGCCCAATAAGAATTTGTGTGAGTTCAAAACACAAACAATCGCATCATTATCAAGATATGACAGCATGTCATCCATCAAATCAAACATCGTGCGTCTGCTAGTGCATCCTTGTCACAAAGTGCCGAGCTTCTTGTTCTGGCTGTTAATCTTGTTCTCGAGATTCTCCTTCGCCTTCGCCAAGGCCTGCCGAGGGCTGCGGCTAAGCGCAAGCAGCACCGTCAACAAGCCTTCAACAAGTCAAGAAGCATGTCAATCCATGCCATGCCGGGCCAATGCCGGGGACATGAGCTCCACAACCAGACATCCAACATGACAACGACCCAACTCTAGAAATGCAAGTTCGAGACCGCCTGGACGAGACCTCCAACTTCGGTCACGCACTTTCTAAGGCTCTGGGCAATCGTCTTGGTGTCAGTCGCCCGGTCCTTGATCTCTTTCAGCTTGTCGGTGAAGGCATCCCTTGTGTGGCATTCGTCAAAGAGATCCGTCCTCTCCAGCATCTGGACGACCACTGCTTTGCCTCGCTTGAGAGAGCAAAAACAACTGCATTCCGGCGGCCGGTGGTTGGTGGTTGCCACAGCATGAGCCGTTGCATTTGCAGTCAGGAGACTAAAGCATGCGCAGTGAAATTCCGCCAAGGGGCTTGCGTACTGGTTGACCACGGTGTCAGTCTCCTTGATCTTGTCCAGCACCATCTGCAGCCTTTCTGCCTTGCGCGCCTCCAAGTTGCCTTCCGTGCTGCCTGTCTCGCCAACGATGAGGTCCGGCAGGTCGGGAACCAGCTGGAGCATCTGGTTCTCTGGAAGCAAGCCAGACGCAGCCAAGCAGGCTGTCCTGCGTGCCTCCATGTGGTAAAGGCACTTCACAATGCCAGCGTTGTCCCCCAAGCCCAGGTTGAGCGACTGGTCGAGCACCTTGTCTTCCCCAACACCTTTGCGCACCAAATCGTGCCACATCTGGAAGAGGCCCGGCTGGGTGCTTTCGAACTCCTTTGCTTTCTCAAGCGCATCCTTCAGGCTCTGCGTGCAAAATTGCCTTGTCGAGGCAAGCTTGCCTGTGAACTGGATGCGAGTCAAGCTCACGTCCAACAGCTTGGGCTGCTTAGCTGACTTGGCTTTCGCCGCCCTGCTGCTGCGGCCACCGCCACCGCCACCGTTGCCCCTTGCGGGTGCTGCCGTGCCGCTAGTGGAGAACACAGTGCCGGGGTCCGTGACGAAGTTCAAGCAGCACTTCTGAAACAACTCCGACTCGTGCTGAAACTTGACCTCGGCAGAATTTCAATGGTGGCACGTGACACGTTTGTGCCTGTCAGCGCCTGGACCTATACAAGCCTAAGCATCATGCATCCAATCAATCAAGGTCCAAGGCCCAAGGCACAGGACAATCACAAGGTAACACTGCAATGACAAGGCTTCAGCTCATGTCCAAACAGCAACACAATGTCAGCAAGGACATGCCCGCAAACTCTCCATGACATGCCATGATCCACAGCTGAACTTTAAAACTGAATACTGAACTGAACTGAACAAGGCCAAGTGCATGCCCAGGCACAAAGCCACGCACGCGCTTGTCGATTGCTGTCAGCGTAGCGGTGGACACATCCTTGCTTTGGAAAGACTTCTCGCGCGCACGCTTGTCGCTGATCTCCTGGCGGCGGGTCGGTGTGTGGGTTGGTGTGGGGGTGTGTGGGGGCACACTGTGTGGGTTTGAATAAAACCTTAGGATGGTGTCGGCCTGGGGCCTGGGGACCTGGGGCCTTATGGCTCGGGCTGTGTCGCACCGTCGAATGTCATCCCTTGCCCTAGCTACACAATTAGCAACAGACAACAGCAGCACGGCGCCGCCTCGAAGTGTGTTTTCTTGATGCCGCCTGTCGCCACCCAGACAGACTCCTGGTTGGACGTTATCCCGGTGCGCTTATCTTCGACGGGCTGGGTGTCTCGAAGTTCCGGATTTGCAAGATCACCTTGAGACCAATCAAACAATTGCTCTCAGACTTCGTTTGCAGGTGCCTGGTCGAGTCGTTACTACACAGTCTTAGTGCTGTGACGAGACGGCTCCAGGCCGCCAGGACTTCTGCATTGCTCAATCGCTCCTCCTCTGGAACTTTCACCATGTACCAATCCTAAGTGATTGTTGTTGAGGCACTGTCGTGACACTGTTTGAATGTGATTGGTCCACTTGCCCACTTGCATGCCAAGAAGCCTTGTACCAAGAAAACGTCATCAGTTTCCATCCACTCTTCATGCGTTTGCCGCGTTTCTCCTCGTGCACCTCCATGTACCGGACTAAGTTGAATCGCGAGCTCTCCAAGTAAGGGCCACCCGATCCGGACTCGCGTCGAATTTCTTGTGCACTCCTTAGATGTTGAAACTGAATGATGATCTGTAGGTCCAACAGCTTAGAGCAAACAGCAGGAAAGACTGAACAACAACAGTTGCTGAATATTGTGAAGACTCGCAACGATCTTCCTGTACTCTGCAGGATCGCTTGTCTTGAGGCCCTTAAACCATGACTTGGCTCTGTCATCCGAAGGCTTCTGCAGGATGCTTCTGACACGACCAGAGCAGACAACACAGTGCTCCTTGATCTTGTAACGCGTCTCGTCCTTCTTGACGACATACGCTGTCTGGCAAACGAAGCATACTTCTTCAGCTTCTGCATTGGCCAGGGCCAGCGATGCCTGCAACGCAGGCAGTTTCTTATGTTTGAAAACAATATAGACGTAAGTTAAGGAGATGCAAAGCAATCCAATGCGAGCATCAATTCTCACCTCGGCACAGTTCGAATCGTTGAGCCCTGCCATGGCTCCAAGTCGCTCCCGCCCGGCCCGCAATGGCAAAGGGTGGTGAAGCACGACAGTAAACAAACATGCTCGCCTCAATGTCGCACGATAACCTGCAGCTGCACTGGATGCAATGCACAATGCAGGGCGTGCAGTGCTGCGCCTGTACCTGGGCCTGTGCAGTGCACTCGTGTGACATTGAGTCATTGAGATCTCAAATGGCGACACAACGCAAAGCCCATCGTTCCATGCCACTGCCACATGCCAGCTCGCAACGACCACACGCTCCATGCGACATCCAAGCTTGCAACGGTCACAAGTCACAAATGTCATGAGTCACAACAGCGAGAAACGGGTGTAGCAGCACAAACACTTGTTGAGACAAGCGGACAGGCCAAGCAAGTCTTTTGTTTGTCAACGATGGATGCGGTGACGCGGTGGATGTCGAATCGTCACAGCAAGCCCCATGCCAAGGCGCACAGGCACATAGAATCATAGACCATTTGCTTCAATCGCAATATCATGGCCTGCCCAGGGCACACACGACTGCCTACAGAATCACCGAAGCTGGGCAAACAATCACACCACCATGTCCTCATGTGCACTGCAGAAGTTCTTTTGGCTCGCAGCTGTCACTGTGGATTGAGTGGCAGTGGCAGCAGCCGCAGCCGTATTCCGTACCTTGCTTGGTTTCGGAACTGTCACTGACAGGGACTGCACTGCAGGTCGGACAGGCTGGACATAAGTCAGGCGGGGGGGGTGGGTGGGGTGAGGGTGGGGGGTTGGTGGGAAGGGGTGGGGGTGGGAAGGGGGTGGAAGGGTGGGAGGGGGGGGGGGCCGGGGGGGGGGGCGGGGGGGGTTTAGGGGGGTGGGGGTTGCCTTGCCTCACTGCGTTCCAAGTCACTGGGGTGAAAAACATCAACCGAATGCGATGGTTGATGGCTGACAGGTGCTGGCTGTCAGTTGACAGGCCTAGATTGAGACTCGTCCAGGGCCCAGGGCATAGAGAATGGTTTAGGGTTTAGGGGTTGGGTTTAGGGTTACGGTTTAGGGTTAAGGGAAGTGGCAACTACAAATCGATTTCACACACCACGCATGACTGATCACTGCCTAATCCTTAGAATGCCAGGAAGCGGATGCAAACATCAAAAAGATCAGATCTGCGGCAGCTTCACCAAAGTCGTGCCTTCATTGCTTCGATTACAACATGTCAAAAAAACTCATGAGCAATGACTGTCTCTTGAGCACTTGTGGCGGTCTGTCCTCGTCACTCACCCTCGTCATCGTCATCGTCACTGGTGTCCGTGTCGATGTCACTGGCGTCGACTTCTTCAGATTTCTCACTGCTGTCCAGCCAGGGCATCTCTCTGCGAACCTGTTCAACACTGCATGGCTGCATGGTGTTGGGTGTTGGGGTTTCGGGTTTAGGTATTAGTGTTTAGGGCTTAGGGATTTAGGGTTAGGGCTAGCGGGCTAGCGGGTGGTTAGCACTCGCCTGTTCATCCATCAGTTGCACATCTGCCAAGAGGTCTGGGTCCACCGGGCTGATGCTGAAACTGTCGCTAGCGTCGGAGAAAATGTCTCTGCCGCTAACCTCATGCACGTCGCATGTCATGCACACAACGCGAGCTGCCACACACACGCTCATGCAATTCAACCAAGAACAAACACACAACTCCATCGCCTTCAGCCTGGGCTTTGGCGTTGTCTTGTCTGTCTTAGTCTTTGAATCCTTCTTTGTCTTTGTGGCTCTCGATGCTTTCTCTTGTTTCTCCGGCTTCTTCTTGGTCTTGGTCGTGGGGCCTTTGCTGCCGGACGAGCGTCCGTGCTGGTCTGATGCCGCACGCTTCCTTGCATTGCCAATGTCCTTGCTGGTTGTTGCCTTCGATGTGTTCTTCGCCTTGGGTGCAGGTGGTTTGGCCTTGGCCTTGGCCTTCGACTTTGCCCTGCCCCTCGGTTTGACACTCGTGGTCTCGGGCCTGGTGTCAAGGTCAGCCTTTGGCAGCGACTTTTTTGTGTTCGGCTTTGGCTTTGCCTTTGCTGGCACTGTCACTGGCGTTGACTTTGACGACTTTGATGGCCTTGACCTGGTGGCGGCGGCCTCGTCCTCCAGTGTCTCTTCAGTCTCCTCGTTCACAACACTACAAACTATAAATAACATCACTGTGGTCACCACGCAAGCAAGGCAATAAATATGCACACTGCGAAAGCGCCTTCTTCCTCTCATTGCGCGGCGGATCTTGCGCCAGCAACTTCCGGTCCTGCAAGAGTCAACTGCAAGAGTCAAGAGCAAGAGCAACAACTCGATCACACAATGACGACACACACAGACGCAGACACATACACAGACACACAGAGACAGACACACAGAGACAGAGACACAGAAAGGATACACACAGAGACGGACACACAGAGACAGACACGCAGAGACAGACACACAGAGACAGACATAGACTCACACACACACACACAAACCAGAAATATAATTCAAGAAGCCCTATACCCTAAACTCTAACCTAAACCCTAAACCCTAAAAACAGCCGTATACCCTTAAACTCTATAATCTCAACCTCTATAATTCCCTAACCCCACCCTCGAAAAACCCTTGAAAAACACTTAAACCCCTACAACCCCCCAAAAACCACCCCTCAACCCCCATTCTAATTCACACACACGGGTCACCAAACAACAACCAACTCCCAACTTGCCACGCACGCCATCCATGCACTTGCAGTGAAAGTCCGTGTCCTGAAACGCTTCTTCTTCTTGCAGCAACACTTTGTCGTCCTGCACAGCAATAACTGTCCTGTGAGCCTTCGACAGCAGTAACAAAACACACATCAACCTCACTGACTTGTTAGGGTCTGGGCGACTCGCGGGTGTCAAAAGAGTGTCAAAGCGTTTAAGTTCACTGTTTAGGTTATGGAGTTTTAGGGTTCCGTCAGATAGGTTTATAGATGGGCTTTAGTGTACAGGGCTTAGGGTTCAGGATGCAGGACTTCATGATGAAACTGGGCTTAGGTTTCAAGCAAGGTTTAGGATTCGGACTGTGCACTTCCTCGCCTCCTTGGGGCACACTCCTTTGGCGGCAACTACTACGAGCCTTGGCCTTGTCCTGCACACTGCACACGCCACGTTTTATGCCATCACTATGCAAACTACTACTACTGTTACAATGAATGAAGCGCACGCAATGGACGCAATGCCCAAAGACTATAAAAGAGACTGATTTTAACTGTTGTCCTCGGGTGCCAATTCCTACATCTCGGTCCCAGAATTGTGATCTGCTGCTGTGCTCGAGTCACTACAAACTTCCTCTGGCGCAGAGAGGCACTGGCCGTTGCCGTGCCTGCTCTTGGGCGGGCAATTGGTAGTGTTGGCACAGCCTCTTCAGGCTCTTGTGGGTGGCATAGTCCACAGTAAGGTGCCTGCGCCGCTGCGGTTTGGCCTGGCCCTACGCCTCGCTTGTTTTCTGTGTGCTGTTGCGCAGCTTGCTCGGAAACGTGTTCGTTTCGTGCTCGGCTGGTCTCTTGCGGAGACCGGGCTGGCACGCCCACAGCGAGCTACGAAACTGCTCGCTTTGCTATTTCGCTGTTCTTGTCGCTGTCGAGCCGCAACTGTCCGCAACCATGCGTAAAAAAAAAAAAAAAAAACAGTGTCATCCTGCTGAGGTAGCCGAGGTGTCTTCCGCTTGTTGGAAAACAAATACTGCTGCTCTGCGAATGCCCTGCTGCTGTCAGCCTGGTGCTGCCGCCGCCCGCTTTGCTGCTTGCGCGGCTCCTGTGCGAACCTGCCTGCTGGGCCTTTTGATGGGGATTGAAATAATGGCAGATGTTTGGTCCGCAACTGAATTGGTGCGCCTACTGGGCCGCCCTGTGTGATTGCCTGTGCCGCGCTTGTTGTTGTCTTGTTGTTGATGCATTGGTCCATGTTCAAGCGGCTTTTGCCTGTGCCTGTGCTTGTGCGCATATGCCTTTGCCTGTGCTTGAAGTGTTTGTGTCCGGCTGTGCCGGCTGTGCGGCTGATAGTGTTGTGGCAGCGTTGCGGTCCGCAGCCGAATGTATGCTTCTGGTTGCTTAGTACTGCACAATAAGTACGCCCAAAAATGCCAATGGTTTCAGCCTGATGTGGCCTGCTCTGTTGCGCGAGCTGCCGCTGTTTGAACTAAAAAATCTTCTTGCGCCTGTTCTTCTTCATTGTTTTGCGGCAAGTCCGCGACAATGCCCGAGCTTGAACTATGGAGTCATCCCGGGCTGCCAAATAGTTGTGCTTGATACCATCGAATATTCCTGAAGAAACTCGGCCGATGCTAAAATCACAATGGGCGCCTCTGCCTCAGCACGACGATCAATCACCTTCGAAATCACCATGTGCCTCCCGGGGCTTGCGTGGACAGCTCTGTGCAGCGCACGTGATGCCAACTCGAGCTTTCCGCGCGGACTGCGGGCTTTGCCCAGCCTGGCACCATTCGGTGGTTTTGGCGGATAACTCAGCCTGGCGTGGGCTTGCTTTTTGGCGGCGGCGGGTGAGGGGTAGCATCCCATGCAATGGTACAAGGCTGTGGTGCCTGTGGCAGCGGTGTGCAATTCTGCCAGCTGCTGCTCCTTGCTACTGACACTGAACGGCCGCCTTTGGCCCGGTGCCTTGGGCTCTGCGTTTCTGGCTCTGCACCGGCCTGGCGGTAGCTTTGGTCTTTGCTGTCAAGACTGACGCATTTCGGTTTCTTGTCGTCACCGGGACGTGCTTTCTGCGGTGGTTTCGCCACAGCTTGCGGGCCACAGCTGCGGCATCCACCACTGACTTTGAACTCAACCCTGGCAATGCCATGGCGGTCGCCCCTTGGTTCCGGGTAAGTGGAACACTCCTGGTGTGAGTGTGACATGCCCAATGATTGTAACGGTATGTCATGACTCACATGTTACTTCAGCAATGCGTGGGAACCACGTTGGAGTCTTCTAAATTTGAACATCGCGGCAGCAATCGCACTCGCACGCTGTGGCTTTGCGGTGTGCACAAGAACA